GAACGCATAAGATAGACCCAAGAAAAGCGGGTATGGTCATCAACAAACAGTAGAAAATATCTGTACCCACCCATAGAAGAGATGTGATATGGCCCCCAAACATCAKTATGYACAATATCAAAAGAAKAATTACTCCTTTTATTACTCAAAGAATAAGAAGTTCTACAATGTTTAGCAAACACACAACTCTCACAACTCAACTTTGATAACTCAACAGAGTCAAATAAAGCAGGAAACAGAGTCTTCAAAGACCTGAAAGACAAATAACCTAATCGATTATACCAAAGCATAACCGGACTCACAGACTGAGAAACAAAAGACTTCTTATCCACTGACTCCTCCCAACGAGAACTCTCTCCAAGCAGATAGATCCCATTCGTCTCACAGCCAGTCCCAATCACCTTCCTCGTCTCCAAGTCCTGAAAAACACACCGGTCAGGGAAAAAGATTACTGAACAGTTCATATGTTTGGTAATACTACTAACTGAAAGCAGGTTAGTATCAAGCTTAGGAACATGCAAGACAGAAGATAAAGAGATAGTATCCGATAGCTTGATGTCCCCCTTGCCCGAAATGGGAACAAGAGAGCCATCAGCAATGGATACTCTATCTCGGCCAGAGGACAAGTGATAAGAAGTGAACAATGATGGCAAGCTAGTGATATGGTCGGATGCACCTGAATCTATTACCCAGCAGTGATCAGTATTACCTGGAGCTGAAGCATGGTAAGCTGAGGCTCAAGTACCTGAATGTGCAAACGCAGATGTGGCAGGAGCTGATGGTGACTGAGACGGCTGAGCTGAACTCCCAACTTCCTTTTCCAACTGCATGAGGGAAGCCCAAACAACGACTAAGGTCTCTAGGGATGTGCCTGATGAGGATGTTGAATCAGTGTTCACAGCCACATGAGCATTACCCTTCTTATTTCTTAGTTTTGCTAGAACCAAGTGAAGATGTAGCTTCCAACAAGTATCTTTTGTGTGCTTGGGTTTCTTGCAATGTTCACATACCAGGTCCCGTTTATCTTCCTTCTTCTGGTCCCTTTCTGGATCACCCCCTGACTTAGGTTTAACAGCTGTCAGGGCTGGGAAAGGGGGTTGAGGCTGCATCATGACTTTTCTCCTAGTCTCTTCACTATGCACCAGGGAGTATGCTTGAGAGAGGGTCACACTATCTTTGGTCAATATCTGTTGCCGCACAATGTCATATTCTGAATTCARGCCARYCAGRAACTCAAWCACCCTRTTTGTCTCGACTTGCTTTCTGTGAGTCTGTGCATCTTTGGGACTCTCCCA